TCTCATGGGGGGAAAAGGCCTTAAGATCTCAGGGGGGAAAGGCCTTAGGGGGGAGAAGATCTCGGGGGGAAAGGGGGAAGGGATCTCAACCGGGGAAAAGATCTCGGGGAGGAAAAGGGGGAAGACAGGGGGGTAAAAGGCCTTAGGCGGGAAATGGGGGAAAGGATCTCAGCAGGGAAAGGTGGCAGGGAAAGGGGGGGAAAGATCTTAGGGAGGAGAGGCAGAAGATCTGGGGAAAAATGCCTGAGGGGGGAAAGGGGAGAAATGATCTCAACAGGGAAAGGGGTGGAAAAGATCTTAGGGAGGAAAGGGAAAAGAACTGCGGGAAAAAATGCCAACAGGGAAAGGGGGGAAAAGATCTCAGGAACAGGGAGAAGCTCTCAGGGGAGAAAGGCCTTAGGAGGGAAAGGGGGGAAAGGATCTCAACAGGGAAAGGGTGGAAAAGATCTTAGGGAGGAAAAGGGAGAAGATCTGGAAAGGCCTTAGGAGGAAGGGGGAAAGGATCTCAACAAGGAAAGGGGGCAAAGGGTCTTAGGGAGGAAAAGGGAAAAGATCTCAGCGCGGGGAGTCCTTAGGGGGGAAAGGGGGGAAGGGGGGAAAGGATCGAAAGGGGGGGAAAGATCTCAGGGAGAAGGGAAAAATGCCTTAGGGGGGAAAGGGGGGAAAAGATGTTTGGGAGGAAAAGGGAAATCTTTCTAGGGGGGGAAAAGGCGCTTGCTTCACCATCGCCGCACCGGCAATATTATCTATCGCAGGATTGTGACCAAATTGCATGGCAGTCTGTACAAGCCTTACGGTTGACAACCTGTGTTATCAAGCCTAGGCCACCTACAGTGTACGCCTAGGAACACAGCCGCTATCACATTGCGCTCTGCTACTGGAGTCTCGAGCCACGCATACAGCATGCAAGGTGCTAAGGGTTGGATTGAACTCCTTGAAGGATCAGCCCCTTGCTCCCCAGGAGGGGGCCACATTATGAACTGTAGGCTTTGCGATTCCAGACACGTCTGCCAATGTTGAAGTGCCAAAGTGCCATTTGAGAGCCGTTCTATATTCAACGTGCCAGCATTTTCGGCCTGGTGAGGGGCCAATGGCAGGATAGCTATACAGGGAGCACACACCTGCGATCCTTCTTGGGATTTGGCCCATCATATTTCTAGCATGAGAAAACTTTTGGGCAACTTTTCAGGAAGTTACCTGCTTCTGTCAGCCAACAAACACGCTGTCAATCATGCTGATCTTTCCAAGAGCGCCCCCCATCCCCCCCTAGTGGCGCAAGGCTCCGTCTCACACATCATCTCCTCGCATAGTTGTCGTAAACGCCACTGGAGCACACTTCTGCTGTAGAGCCTGTCATTGCTTTCGAGTTCGTTGGCTGCGCCGGGACCCGCTGATCCAAATGATCCGCGCAATGTTTGCGGCTTCGCCACGAACTACCACGCCACGCAGAACGTGTTGCGCACATACAGACACGAGCGATGTCGCTCGGGATAAAGCAATCGCACTACATCGTGTAGCCACGGATGCAGCATAGTGCCCATTTGCCCGAGACAGTCCGACGCCTGGGGAGAAAAAGCCTTAGGGGGGAAACGGGGGAAAGGATCTTAAGCGGGAAAGGGGGGAAAAGGTCTTAGGGAGGAAAAGGGAGAAGAACTCAGGGTGAAAGGCCTCAGGGGGGACAGGAGGGAAAGGATCTCAGTACAGAAAGGTGGGAAAAAGATCTTAGGGAGGAAAAGGGAGAAGATGTCAGGGGACAAGGCCTTAGGGGGGAAAGGGGGGAAAGGATCTCAACAGGGAAAGGGGGGAAAACATTTTAGGGAGGAAAAGGGACATGATCCCAGGGGGGGAAAAGGCCTTGGGGGGAAAGGGGGAAAGGATCGAAAAGCGAGAAGATCTCGGGGGGGGAAAAAGGCCTTAAGATCTCGGGGGGGAAAGGCCTTAGGGGGGAAAGGGGGAAAGGATCTCAACAGGGAAAGGGGGCAAAGGATTTTAGGGAGGAAAAGGGAGAAGATCTCAGGGGGGGAAACGCCTTAGGGGGAAAAGGGGGGAAAGGATCTCAACAGGGAAAGGGGGAAAACATCTTAGGGAGGAAAAGGGAGAACATCTCAGGGGGGGAAAGGCCTCAGGGGGGAAAGGGGGGAAAGGATCTCAACCGGGAAAGGGGGGGAAAGATCTTAGGGAGGAAAGGGAGAAGATCTGGGGGCAAAGGCCTTAGGGGGGAAAGGGGAGAAATGATCTCAACAGGGAAAGGGGTGGAAAAGATCTTAGGGAGGAAAGGGAGAAGATCTGGGGGAAAAAAGGCCAACAGGGAAAGGGGGGGAAAGATCTTAGGAATTCGGGAGAGGCTCTCAGGGGGGGAAAGGCCTTAGGGGGGAAAGGGTGGGAAGGATCTCAACAGGGAAAGGGGGGAAAAATCTGACAGGCCTTAGGCGGACGGGGGGAAAGGATCTCAACAGGGAAAGGGGGCAAAGGATCTTAGGGAGGAATAGGGAGAAGATCTCAGCGGGGGGAAAGGCCTTAGGGGGGAAAGGGGGGACAGGATCTCAACAGGGAAAGGGGGGGAAAAATCTCAGGGAGGAAAGGGAAAAGATCTCAGGGGGGGAAAAGGCCTTAGGGGGGAAAGTGGGGGAAAGGGAGGAAAAGGGAGAAGATCTCAGAGGGAGAAAGGGCCTTAGGGGGGAAAGGGGGAAAGGATCTCAACAAGAACAAGGAAAGGGGGGCAAAAATCTTAGAGGGGAAGGGGGCAAGGGGACAATTCCAAAGGGACGCAATAAGACAGCAGGCCTGTAATGTCGGCGGCCTGAGCCGGAGGCGTTAAAATACACAGAGAAAGAGTTAAAAAAAGAGAGAAGGCAAAAAAGGAGAGACAAAGGAGTGAAAGGGAAACAGACAGCTACACAGAGAAAGATGACAATACATTTTTTCTTTAAAGAAACATAAAAGGAAAGTGAAGTGAGAGACAAACAAACAAATGAGAGACAAATAAAATGAATAACAAATAAAGAGGCATCGAAAGAAACAAAGACAGGACTACTATATTATATAGTTCTTATAATTTTGAAACTTCCGCCAACCGGCTTCGCCGGCTCTGCTGGTACAAGGACCTTTTGATTCAGCGCTCACGTGCATTCTATCTGCTGTCTGCCAGTATCCAAGTCCGTCACAACTCCGCCCTGCTTCTGCAAGCGTCGCAGCAAACGACTGTGCCTAGCACTGCGACATAAGCCCGCAAACGCTCGTCCTAAATGTCCTACGCACACTCCTGCCTTCCTGCCACTTCACAAACGCACATGACTGAGTGTTGTGATGGGGCGGAAGCTCTGAGGGCTCAACGAGCGCAGCTCTTCGGAGGTTCCAGAGGCCTGTAGCCTTCATGGGTGCCCGCAAATGCCATCAAACCAGAACATAACCACAAATTCAAAGGCCCACCTGGCAAACAAATCCTGAGAGCAGTGGAAGGCGGCTCGCACCTGCTTTGGCCAAAAGGTTTCACACAGTGGCAGGTTGCACAACCTTCGATTGGTGTCAAATGACCAACACGCCTCTCTCCAGCTGAAGTTTTCCAAAGCAGCACCTTGCTTGCACAGAATGTCAGCTTCGGCGAAGGGTAACAAAGAACCAACAGCACATGCAAATCTTCAAGTCTCCACTCTTGGTGGCGGGCTCTGAAAAACCCAGAGGACAAACATGCAGGCGTAGACTTTTGCCGGAGACAGGCCTTGAGTCAGTCTTCAGAGTCAATATTTTTCTCCCTCTTCCTCATTCTCTCTCTCTCTCTCTCTCTCGCTATCTCTTGCGCGCACACACACACACATGCACATACATCCCTCTCGCACGAACACACTCTCACGTTCGTGCTTGACTGGGAATCGCTGCTTCTGCCCACATTTCGGCAACGAGCATAAACTATCCATCGATCCTGCGAAGTTCAGAGTTTTACAGGACTAAGCTGTCGACAATCGTTGGACTGCAAAAGCGAGAGCCTGATCAACGAGCGACACAGTTCGACGGCAAACACCAACGGAACAAGCCTTAGCAACATGTCTGTTGTTTCGCTTGCAAACCCAGCATCTTATGCTTTCACAATACCTGCAAACCTAACCTGGACGCAACCGCCCAACTTCCAAAAATCACCCTCACACCTGTGACGCATGCTTTTGGACAACGCACGGACTTCCATACTATCCGGGTGTATATTCAAGTTCGGAATTCCATTGCTTCTATCTCTCCGTTAATGTTGGAACTTGATTAATAAATGCCCCTCCCCCCCCCCCCAACAATGGAGGCACTAGAATTCTGTAGGCTCACTTTTGGGACGTCCAAGCAATGGAGGATTTTGGGGCCCAATTCTACTTTAGTATTGCAGCCACTTCCTTTTTGCAATTCTACTATAGTATTGCAACCACTTCTTCCTGAGCAGACTTTTTGGAATACTTCTTTAGTATTGCAACCACTTCTTCCTGAGCATACTTTTTGGAATACTACTTTAGTGTTGCAGTCACTTCCCTTTCAGTTCTTTCTGTAACCATTCAAAGGGTGTGCCTTTCAGCCAGGGAGGGCTTGAGCTAGATTGAAACCAGGTTGGGCTGGGAGGGGGGGCTGGGGGCTTGCAACTAATGTGGCCCCCAGAAAGAACGCAATTATTGTGGTTCAGTGGGGTCTGTGAGGGGTACCCTTGTCCTGATTTTTTTGTGTTTGCATTTTTGTAACACGGTTTAATAAAGAATTTGCAGTTTCAGGGCTGGGGATGGTTTTTCCAATTTCAGAGGTTTCAGCTGGCTTTGGGTTTTGTGTTTGAGCAACCAATTAAAATGGGGAATGCTTTTCAGCAAGTGGGCCACCAACTGAAAGGGGAATGCTTTGAAGCAAGTGGGCCACCAATTGAAAGGGGAATGCTTCGAAGCAAGTGGTTTTTTGCCCCGGGGCAACAAAACTTTCAATTATTCTGGCCCCCTTCAACAATGGGGGCGAACCACAATAAGGAAAACACTTTGCATTGACTATCCCTTTATTAATCGGGTGCCAACATTCTGCTGTTTGCCACACTTTGAGCCCGTCACGCTCTTCGACAGCTTGATCGAACTGCCGCCATGTCCTGCCCAAACAACCTGTTCCAGCCTTGCTCCATGAGAATCCCCCGCAAAACGGAACACAGTGTCCTTGAGCTGCCAGCAAACTTCGGCCAAGCCTGCAGGCGCTTGCTCCAAGGTTTACGCAACTAGAAACAAAGAGCTGCTGACAAATCCACACACACATGAGATGTGCCGATGAACCTGCCTGCAATCATGGGGTCTCTTGATTGAAGAGTGATTTCTCCCCCCATGAGTAACACCTGTCTCTTAAGCGTTGACAAACAAGAATTTGTACGCTAGTTCTCCGTAATTCCGAGCTCGGCTGCGCACAGGTGTAGATGCCCTCCGGGCAGGAGCTGCAGGAAGGGCACCTGACAGTGCGACCTCTGCTCAGCTACCTGCATGACGTCGTGGTGCCCACTGCAAAATTTCTTCAGGATCCTGCCTCGCCCAAAGAGACTCACATGCCTCCAGGCAACTTCTCGAGGAAAGCAGAAGGCTGCGAGAGACTTTGCCCGTGGCTTTCTTCTCGGATTTCCCTGCCAGCCGCATGGCCTCCGCTGCATGGAAGAGGCGCTTGAAGCGGACAGCCACCCACTCCGCATCCGGAGAGTCAAGCTCCAGCTGCCGCCCCAGGGCGCACCAATGTGCGGCTACGCGCCAGTCTCCTGCACGCAAATGACTCTCTGCCAGGCGATTGCAGCAGCTGCAACCGAAGAGGGCCAAATTGGCAAAGCTGGCATCCAGCGGATCCAGCAAATCCAATGGATCCATCAGCCAGGCTGCAAATTCAGTGCTTTCAGCAGCGACCAGCAGCTGGCTATCCGTCACATGGGCCTCCTCCGCAATGTGCAGCACCCGGCAAACCTCCGTGACGGCCTCTTCGTAGCGCTGCTCATGCCAATACTGACCAAGCTCCGTGACCATTGCCAACCACCATGCGACGACTATGCACCTTGATTGATGCGCAGTTCGCCTGAATTGCTGTGAGACTTCGCCCAAGTTAGCGACACTGCAAAACAGTAATCCGGAAACCGTGTCAATAGCACAGCGTGGTATGACTGACTGGACCATCAATACTACCCGCACCTGCTTGAACCAACAGTCATCTCCGCCCTTCTCCCTCCCTCTCCTTCTTGCATTTCTCTTCTGTCTCTTGCATTCTTGCTCACTATCTCACTATCTCTCTTTCTCTCTCCCTTCTTCTCTCTCCCTTCCCCTCTCTCCCCCCTGTCTCTCTCTCTCTCTCCCTCCCTCCCTCCTTCCCTCCCGCCGTCTCTTATCCTCCCCAACCAGTTGCCATGCAGCACACGTGCCAAATAAAGTGACACAAGCTGGGGACACAGCCTGCACCACGTTTCCTTGTGCTGGCATCCCGCAATGTTGCTCTGTATGCTTTTAATTCGCAAACGGTTCTCGCTTCTCATACTTTCCGACGGAATCTTTGTCCGCATACTAAGCCTGGAACACCACGTACATCGTTGCGCACGTGCATCTGTTTGTGCATAGCACATCATAGTCAAAGTAAGAAACACACAATGCCAAAGCGAATTACCAGGGACATTGTTCCCGCCGAGGGCTTCGAGAGCGGCCACGTGACTCCTGCTGCTGATGGACTGACAACTCAAACGATGCATTAGATTCTGTGCAGGAAAGCTATTTGTGATATCACCTATGCACTGCCTTGATGAGTCTGCGCAATACTAGGCATGTCTGCGCTCGCAGAAATCATCTGTCCTGCCCCTTGTCTTCTCCACTTCCCTGCGTACTGGCGTTTGCAGCACCTAACTTTGTGCTTGTCACTCAAGCAACCGGAGCCTCCACTGCTTCCAAGGTGATCTTTAAGTCATCGTCGCAGTACTCCTTGCGCCAGCCTTCCCTGCACGCAGCTGAGTGTGCTCCAATACTGATAAGCTGATAACCCAGATTTGCGATCGTTTCTTGAGAAAGAAAAGGCAAAAACACGTATTAGGGCAAGCAGCAAGCATGCAGTCTTGTCATGGCTCGTGTCTCCGGCAAAGTCTGGGCAACAGTCCTGGGGGGCATATCGGAGTCGGCTTCTGCATAGAAGCACTCCCCACCTGACCTTGAAGCAGTGCCAATGAGAGCTGGCTACCATGGTTCTAATCGTGTCAGTCCCACGTAAGGTGTGGGCGCATCACAAATCCACCAGGTTGGCTTGCCATCGCCAATAGTGGTAAAGGCAATGCTTGGACGTGAGCCTTCTGTCTTCGGCCTGGCGCAAGCTTCAAATCTTGCCCGGAACCGTACTTGCAAACCCAGCACGGAACCGTACTGTTCAGCTTATGCATTGCAAAGCATGCCCACGCTTGGCGCACCCGAGAAAGACCGGCTTGCCATTCTCTGATTGGGCACTCTTCACATATCTGCCAAACACTGCATAATCCTGAGATGAAGTTGAACACCACGGCTTGATCTCAAGCTGACACAACCGAGTGCAATTGAATCATACTGCCATACTCAAAACTTCAATCTGCCAAAAGGCCATCGCCAACTCTTCAGTGCCTTTGAGCTCAAAGGCTTCATCCCCGTGGTAGTCTCCATCAAAATCCTGATCGGAGCGCAAGGGGCACGTGTCTCGTCTCTACAGACTCCACATCCGTCCACACGTATGCCATTCCTCATCACGGTCGTAATCATCAGCTTCGTCCTCATCGGGCAAGGCCATGTCCAGGGGATCCTCGCGCTGTCAGCTGGCCACATACTGGTGAGCAGGATCCGCCTTGGACATGACCACTCTGGCAAAGCCCTTAGCTGTGCCGAATTTCTGCGATGGCCGCTCAGGTCTTGGTCCTTCACACACCAACATGGTACTCTCTGCAAGATTTAGAATCACCGTGGATGGACCCTGATTGTCCACATGCCATCTATTGAATTCTCTGAGAAAATGCAGTCACACGATATACATGTATACACCATACATACCACTGTAAGTGAACCGCTTCTAGCACTTTGTTTTTCCCTCTCTTTCAGGCAGCAAGGTTTGCTTGCCTTTCTTTGTAGCCGGCTGTGACTCAGCCATGTGTCCACGCTAAATCAATCTGCATATGTGCGACTGGAGTCGTTTGCAGGTTTAGGCATTGAATTCAGGGACGTACCAGCTACAGGCACTGCCTGTTCTTAGTGCCACTCTTTGACACTCTGTACATGTGTCCGAGACAAATTCTTCCGCCTGCCAGCTCAGAAGCGCAAGGATCTCCTTGAGATGCCTCCAACCGCTATTTCTTGGCAAGGCAGCAACTACTTCACCCTTTGCAGAAGGCCTCAAACGCGGTACGCCCTAATACGGACTGCATGTCACGCTACCGAATTTGCGACAGGACTCCTGGTTGGATTCTGCTGCCATGTCTAACAAACCATCCTTAGAGGTTGGACATTTGCCGAAGGTCGTTGACATGCTGCTACGTCAGCGCCTGATTGGCTCTAACAGCAAACTTCATGCGAACTGTCGGTTTATTGGAACATTCTTTTGAAGACTGCACTACCTTGACAATGGCCCTTTCGGCACTCGCACTTACGGAGTTACGGAGGGAAACCGCCAGCCAGGGAGGGAAACCGCCCGCCAAGGACAACGCATCAAATGTGGGAAGCAAGGTTGGATACTGCCCGTGCAAGTGAGACCCCCGCCCGCACCAGCCTGAATCAATGGGCAGCGCGTCCAAACCAACCCTTCCACTCCTGCACGGCTTGCCAAGCTTGCCAAATCCAGGCAAGCCCAAAAAACATGAAGCAAAATGAAGCAAAATGAAGCAGCAACATGAAGCAAACAAAATGAAGCAAACAAAATGAAGCAAACAAAATGAAGCAAAATGAAGCAACATAAAGCAAATCGCGAGGCAAGGCCTTGTGCGAGTGGTAACATTTCACTGCATCCTCCTCGGCATGCTTCAGGGCCTCGATGCGCGCCTTAGCATGTGACACTGGACGGCACTATCTATCTGGTGCTTGCCTCTGTTGTCGGATGTGTGCTGGCCCAGGATGGAGCACGTTCTGAATCAAGAAAGTCCTGGCGCCACACGCGCATCACACACACACACACTCAGACAAACTACAAAATATGCGTCTCTTGGCGCGTCTGCACCCGGACCCAAACATTGTTTGCTCGGTATCAGCCAGCTGATGTAGCTGGTCTTCCAGGCAAGCCAAGTTAGTGATTGCTCTGTATTGCATCCTTTCATGGCTCGTTCTGGCGCCGAGGTTTCTTTCTGTGCTCAGGCTTACTCTCCTCCATTGCCTGCATCTTCTGAAGGAACACTGATGCCAGTCGGGGGTCGTATCCCGCAAGAGCGCAAATCTGCAAGCCAGTCGCATCCGCCTGCAGAGGATGCAAAGCTGCTCGCAAGAATCCCTGATCTTTGGGGAGGGAATGCAGTGGTTGAAAGCTTGGGCTTTAGCTGATCTTTGCACATACAACGCTTGATGAAGTCACCTCTGCAAGCTTCAAGCCAGGGAGTGATTGTCAACACACAGCCATGGGACGCCAATGATTTGAACTGAACAAAAAAAAACAGAAGCAGCCGGCAAACAGTGCTCGCTCTGATGCCAAGCGTGGAGACAATTCGGTGTGTTGCATGTCATGTTAGGACGCAATCTCCGCGTCTCTCGTTGCCAAACGGTCTGTTGTCAGGCAGCATGATGATGTGTGTCTCAGCACTGGAGCTTCCCTGCAGTTTCTCGAGCGCTTTCAAAGGATGACGTCCAAACAAAGGCTTAGCCAGGAACCAACAACTCCGCCAATATGAATTTGCATTTTGGTGCCAACCCTGTCAGATACGTCTGTTCAAAGTTGGGAACGCCTCCATCTCATCGCATCGGCTCTCTGGCAGAAGAATGGCATACCTGCCCACAAAAGCACGCGACACTAAGCCTTCAATGCATTGAAGTGTCGATGGTGGAAGCAGGTTCCCATGATGCACGCGATTCGCCACAATGGTCGTCGGATCCAAAATCTGCGGCTCTGCCGGCGTGTCTCGTGGATGTTCCGGTCTTGTTTGCGTTTTGCGCGAATTGACGTCCTTCCCCCCCTCACCCCCCCCCCCCTGTGACCCGCGTAGGGCCCACTCACCCCGAAGGGATTAGCCCACTATTGTCACGCTTCAGTATGTCCCTGGATCTATCTGAGAACCGACAAGGAAGCATGAGGTGACGGGAGTTTGAGGAAGATGCCGTGTCCTGGTTTTGTGATGCCCCTTTCTATATCCTATAAGCGCAAGCAATGGCCAATATGTCCACAGATCGTGCCACAAAGGATACTCTCAGCACAACGAATTCTACAAAGGATCTATTGTCTGCGTCCGTCTCTCAATTCTGAGATGTTTGGAGGCGGCAGTGCATGCGCCTTCAATCATTCCCTAGTCTAAAGTCTAAAGCAAACATGTTTTCTTTTGTCATGAGCGCGAGCTATGTTTGCATCTTCCCCAAATCTTTCATGCAGGCTTTGACATGTCAACGAGTTGTTGGCGGCCCCTTATGCGACCAAACATTGCGCCATGGTGGCAAAAGGGAAGTATCTAGTGAGCCACACATGCTTCAAGCCTGGCAATGGCTCCGGCAGCGATCTCGAGGAGGAAAGTGATCATGCCAGAGGGGTCTAGAGCCGTCAGCAGCCTTGCGCAAAGCAACGGTAAATGCTTGAAGATCTACGCTTGACCGGATTCTGAGGTGGCTACAGAAGTTCCAACCTCAGTTCCACTCGAAGTTGCCACATTTCAGCCCCGTCATGTCGGCGGTGCCTTCCTTCTGGGTGGCAGCCAAGGAACTGGTAGGCCGAGGCAGATAGGCTCAGGCTGTCCGAGCCATGGTCGTGCACCTGGAAGCCACAGTATTGCAAGCGCCTGTGAATCAAACATCTCGTTTTTTTTAGCTTGGAGACTGCATGGGCGAGCTCATGGCTCAGCAGCATGGCAAGCCTAGGCATCTGATGGCATCTGTACTGGCAGACTCCGGACTCTCACAGCATGTTATTCATTTCGGTGTGGCAGGCTTTGAGAGGCGTGCTGCTCATCATTCTCCACCACCCTGCACTCCTTCAGGGAGAAGAGCTCCTTTGCCGATGATGTGGAAGTTTCTTTACTTGAAACAGTCAGGCTGGATTGAGCACAATTGATAAGTCACAGGCTGCCAAGAACAACATGTCTTGCAATCTCTGCACCGAAGCCACCCTCTTGTCCACAGACATCTGTTGAGAGTTCTCTAAAGTGATGATGCAGGACGCCTGGCCGGCATGCCAATGAAGCGCCCTCAAGTGAGAACTTGGCCAAATGTCCGAGGCCTGATCTGCATCTGTGGACACCAATTTGGCCTGGTGTCGGCACTGTTTGGTCAGGATCCATATCTGCCATGTGCGCTCGCGTCTGCTTCTACCATGCGAGCTGTGTATACAAGTTCCAAGCAAACAAGTCAACTACACGTTTTAGTGTCAATGCCTGAGCGCGTGCACTTGTGTTGCATCCTGCCTTGTGCCAGCGATCTCTGTGTATGTAAACCAATGATCCCGAGGCAGCTTCCTGCAAAGCTGGCAAGCAGCCAGCATGCAGCAAATGTGCAGGCGAGCCTCAAGCGGGACTCGTCTCCTAACACCTGACAAAAGAGGAGACCCAAAGACATGAACATTACAACCTTGCAACGGCCAAGACTATCCAAGACTAATAACTACTTGATGCGAAACGCCAAGGACGCACTGGTGGGGCTTGCGCAAAAACAAATGTGAACAACGGCTTTCCAGCGTCAAAGGCTACATGCGCGAAGACTACCGCAATGCAGCGCGCACATTACCTTGCAAATGTCAATCGTGAATCTCAGCATCATGGGTACAGCACAATTTTACTTGCACGATGACCCCAAATGGCCACAGCTCCCCTCACCATGGTACTTTGCACCAATGCTAAAGTCAACGCTCACCGCTGCCAACGTCTTTTCTTTTGACTAAGTGCATGACTTCTTGCGGCTTGAGCTCTAATCGCAGCCAAATCGCGGAAGATGCCCCGGTGCACGAAAATGAGCCTGGGCACCTGAGGTGTCACCTCAGTCCATGGATGCAATGCCACAACGACACTTCTTGGTCTTCACACCTCTGCCAAACAGCGCTTTCTCTGGAAGAATCCCTTGACTGCAACGCCCAAAGCCGGTCGCAGCCCTGCCCTGGTCTCCGGCGAATGCATTTGGCGTATGCACATCTGCCAGAATGAAGCCGGTATCAGACCACCTATGCGCGATCAAGCATCAAAAACTGGATCGAAGCGATACACAAATCCTTGAGAGCTCAAGCCGTGTCTTGGCCAAAGCTGAACGCTGGCTACCTGCTGGGCTTGGTCTCCGGCGTATCCAACTGGAATTGCGCGCGGCGAAGTGACTGCAGCTCTTCTTCTTGGGCATCAGTAGCCGGTCCTGGCACCACTTAGCATGCCTGGCCATCGTTGGAGAAAGGCCATTGTTGACTTTCAGTCAATGTAGCCTGAGAACGCACTCAGTATTATCGCACTCAGCTTCTTGCCTTCTTGCTGCTTGATGGACTCCTGGAGGTTAGCCTGCATCCGCCTGACCTGCGCGGCAACAACTGCAAATACAGAGTGCTAATGTGGCTGGCACCCAGCCTTTGACTCAAATATCCATGAGTGCATTAATACATCCATTCTTTGCCACAACGTAGACGTAGAAGGTGTGATACTTTAAGGCTGGGTCAAAACAAACATGCAGTCTGAGAGGATGACACTTTCTCATTCCTGCCTGTATCCGTGCTGCTTGTAGAATGCGTGGCAGAACTCGCTGCACTGCCTGTCATACGCCCAGAACATACCAAGACAGGCTTAATCTTCAGCGCCCAGCATGGTGTGCATTGTTGACGGGTCTATGTATGAGGCTCCCAAGAATCGCCCAATCGATTTCCATAGAAAAACGGGAGTACATCTGCACACGACAGGCTTGATCGCTGGGCACCTTGAATTCTTCGCAGCCCGGATCACAAAGTCTGGCAATCGAATGCTTCAGCAAATGACAAACCATGCTGAATAGTGCCTGACGTTGCCCGAATTTTCGCAAGGCCTGACGTTGCCCTTCTCATCAGTGGCACCGATCGAGTGGAGCAGGCTGGTGGCCTGACCACATGCCCTTGCCCTGTATTCATGCAAGAGGGGGCCGAGGCTTCGGCCTTTTGCCGTAGCATACCATCGGGATCAATTGCCATGTCGCTGGCGCCGCTTGCGTAGCCTACACCTGAATGGCGGCATGTGCAGGGCATCTCTTCGAGAAGTGGAATCGGCTGGGGTCACGGCTGTATAACGACACTGAAAGAAATCCAATTCGAGCAGCACGCAAGAACCTTTCAGCTGCAATTGTGTTCGTGCCCGCACTTGCTCCTTGAAGAGAACCCCTTCTCTTTGTTCCCGCTCTCTCTCTCTCTCTCTCTCTCTCTCTCTCTCTCTCTGTCCGCAACATCAGGCAGTGCACAAGACGGGCCTCCGAAACCAGAAGTGGTTCCAAAAATGGAACACTGTGGCTCGTGGCCCTGGCAACTGGCACCGAGCCACAAGAATAGAGCCAAGGCATGCGCGCCGCTTGGATAATCCGTTAGCTCTAAAAATTGCGATCATGCGCCTGTGGAGGCTCTGCCATATTTGATCAAGCAGGTCTGGGCACAACCTTGCCGGTGTCTTAAGATTCCTTAGTTTTTTCTTGAGTTTCCCGGCCTTATACTTTCCATTCTACTATAGGGTTCTTGCGCTTGCACTGTTCAGATCCTAAAGCTGCGGCAATAGCAGTGGGTAGGCTCACGCGTGTGGCGTGACTGCATTTTGTAGTGTGTGCTCACATGACCAGGTGTGCTCCAGCAAAGCGGGATGACAAAGTTTCTACAAACCATGTCGAAAGGAGCAAATGCTGTTCGACCGTGTCGACGTGTATTGAATGCAACAGTCTGCTTGACTCAAGCTCATGGCTGTTTTCGCCAAGAAACATCGCGAAATCTCCTTCCGGCACAAGAGCTGGCCTCCATTCGGCAAATTCAATTACAAAGAGTGGCTTGCGGCTTGACCTTGCCAAAGCACGGCGCCTGCCACGAGATCTGCGCCTGGTTTTGCAACAGTGCCGAGCATGTCACGAAATCTGCACCTGACCTCTTGCGAAAGTGCTGCTCCTGACTTTGCAAGGTTGCTGCGCCTGTCTGGAAATCTATGCCTGACTTTGCGAAAGTGATGCGACTGTCACCTGGCCCTGCGAAAGTGCTGTCTGTCACGAAATCTGCACCTGACTTCACAAAAGTGCTGTGCCTGCCACAAAATCTGCACCTGTCTTTGCAAAAGCATGCAAAAGCGCTGCGCGTGTGGCAAAACGTCGGCACGCGAATTTGCGAACGGAACGTGCTGCGACTGTCCTAAATCTGTACCTTGCGAAGGCGCTGCGCCTTCCCGCACAAGTAATGTCACGAAAAAGCGCACGTCCGTGTCAACGGGTCCGGCTTGAAAGCGCTCCAAGAGCGGCGGTCTGAAAGCAACTTTTTATTTGCGTTCAAACCGCAGGCGAAACGTTGACCCTACTTTCCCATCCAAGTAGTGCTTGCAGTCTTCAGGCATGGCCCCCAGGCCTGGTTTTGTAGCAAGGAACCGCGGGGCATCGCAAGTTTGGATATGGGCACATGCGCCTACAAACCGCGTACACCGGAATGCATGCCTGACATTTCTGCTGACGCACAGGAGCTCTTTGAAAGCACCCACGCAAGCCCTGAACAACAGCCGGACCTTGACACTCTTGACACTCGCAACTTCGAAACAGGTTACAGAGTGTGTCAATGCCCAGCCCAGGCCTTGTGCTGATGTTGCGATCTTTAATGCCCAACTGGTGCGCACCACCAGCTGTGGCCGAAAGCGACCTTTGCGCTTTCGTTGCAATCAGCTCTTCTCTCATAGTGCGGCCAAAGAGCCAAATGCCATCATAGTTGTCTTCGACACCCTTGCGCAAAAAGCTACGCGGACAACTACGTGTGACATAAGCCGTTGGTCAGCACACCTTTTTGACTCTTCATAATTCGTTGTTGTTCCGAAATTGGTGAAAACGGATTCAAAGTCCACGGCCACTCGAACAATCTCGTATCATCTCATATCCAAATGCTGAAGGCGTTGACATTCTTTGCATAACGTTCAAACAGCTCTTTGCTGACGGCCAACGTGTTGCCTGGAGTGGATGGCAGGGGAAATGAGCTGTCTGCCAGAACCACATCCCAACTTGGTCGAGCTCAACTGTTTTTGAAACAACATGAAACAACTGTCACTTTCATCATGGCACCTGTGGGCTTCGCACACATGGGGTACTTGATTGCCTGGAAATCATTCGTCCAATGATAGCTGGAATCGGCCACACAGGCCTCGTACCTTGATCGCGCACACTAACTAAAGCTTACATGCATTGAAGCATGAGTATCTTCACTAGCTTCATTACAACAAGGACAAACATCTGGCTATTCAATTTGATGTCAGCCACACTTTCAACAGGTGATGTCTGAACGTGCGCCAACAAGAGTATAAAAACACTAGCAGCACATCTTCCTTAAGTGTAGCTGAAGTACAAGACAAATGTGCTAGGACAACGCGTTCTGGGATCAACATTGAGAGAAATAAGCAGGGACAGCTGTGATGCGAAGGATTACACAGTATCACAAGGCAGGGCACGAGGCTTTGTTTAGAGGGCGGCCAGCAGCAAAGTCCGTCTTTGCCTGCTGCATGTAGCACACATATCGGAGCTTGTAGAAGCCGCCCACCTGTGAAGGCGGATTTTCAGTCACTGCTAATTGGCGTTTTGAAGCTTCTGGTGCGATGAGCGACTATTTCTCTCATGAAAACACAATACACTAAACCACTTTAATTTAGGAATCATGTGCCTGCCCCGCCCACTGCCGGTTTGCATAGTCACAAAGGGTCGTGATGCCGGTCGAACCTGGTTCCTGGGGTGTCCACACAGTTGTGAGGCTGCGAGCGGCCATCTCGAAGTATCGTTCCAAGGTCTGATTTCCATCAGCCCATCGCACAGCGCTGCGGATCCATGAGCTGGCTAAGAAGCCCTCATCACAGCACAACAGGCCTGAGCTGCATTGTATGATTTGGCACATTGAGAACACTTTGTATGACATGATCTTAAGCTTGGGGCTCATGTCTGCCCAGGGCCCTGAAGCGGAAACTAAACGATGCATGATTTTCTGATTATCCAATCTGATTGTATTCTCTGTGTAAACTATCATATTCAACAGAAGGGGCTGGCGCTTACTGTAACGTTGCTATTTCCACCCTCATTCCAGACCTCCCAAATTTAAGAATGTTTATGTCTGTCCACGCAGAAAGCTTGAAAGGGGTGCTTACTGCACTTGGTGACCCAAGATTGAAGCTACACAATCTTCGGGCTCTGGTGTTTATATATTAAAACCACACTAGTGCCCCAAAATGCTGTCAACTCCTTTGAGGTGTTTTGGGATATGTTCGAATTAACGATGCAGGATTCAGGGTTGTCATGGCTCTGTTTTGCAATGTGTTATCCAAGAGCTAGAGCCCGAACTTGCTTTTAAACGCTCTCAAGCGTTGTTGCGATGTACAATGGCGATTGAAGATTCTGAGCTATCAGGAATATGGCTTTGGATCTTCAATCCAGGTTCTAGCGCCCCCAAAACGCTGGAAACCGCCTTCCGTCAGGTGGCTCCTGATTTATTGACGAATCTTCAACCCAAAACCGCTTGACAGCACTTAAAGCGCTTAAAGCTTTTCTTAAAGTGCTCTGAACCATATTGTGCAAAAGCATGTCGTTGACGAATAAATGCTGGAAGTAGGAAGGCCTGGAAAAGACCGATGTTCTCAAAGTTCACTCAAGAGCAAGAAGCAATTTAATCCTGACTAGAGCAAAGCGCAAATGGTTCTCTCGTATCAAACCTTTGAACATTGCTGGACATCTTGAAATCCTGCGTTTGCAACTCCAGCTCTCAACACAACGCATCTGTTGGAAGGTGAGCGAATTTCATTTCATGCTCGATCCAATGTGTATTTAGTGTATCTCTCAGTTGCCTCGGGCGAGTTTGGTGCTCAAATGTATCGCCATTGGTTGTGCTGAACCCTTTTAGTTTTGCTGCTTTGAACAGATTCTGCCTGTCAAGTTGTGAAGCCAAAATGATGCTCTTGCGAGCCAATACACACACATCAAGTTTATGAAACACCTTGGATGTGAGCCACAGAAAGCTTCGTTGGTAGATAGGGGCTTTTATCTTTTATACATACTATGTTTCTCGATCGATTGATTTATTCGTTCTTGTCAAAAGGGAAACAGGCATAAGCCTAGCATTTTCTTTAAAGAAGTCAGCGTCTATCTCAAAGTCAGAGTGGTGCCTACTGCTTATATTCATAAGCATTATATATGAGATATACATATGAGGAGCGGACGAAACACTTTACTTGGCCCTAGTACTTTTTTGAACGTTATCGTTTTTGGGGGAGACCTTATCGTTTTACAGTGTTTTCGAACTTTGGCAGATCCGGCTCGAAAATCGCAACTTTGTAGTACAAGTCTAGTACACGAGGCACACTTCCGCATCTCCGGCTCGAAAATCGCAACTTTGTAGTACAAGTCTAGTACGAGAAGTACACTTCCGCATCTCCAGCTCGAAAATTGCAACTTTGTAGTGCAAGTCTAGTACGCGAAGTACACTTCCGCAGCTCCAGCTCGAAAATCACAACTTTGCAGTACAAGTCTAGTACGCGAAGTACACATCCGCAGCTCCAGCTCCAAAAAGGAAACTTTGTACTACAAGTCTAGTACGCGAAGTACACTTGCGCAGCTCCAGCTCGAAATTCGCAACTTTGTAGTACAAGTCAAGTACGCGAAATACACTTGCGCAGCTCCAGCTCGAAAATCGAAACTTTGCAGTACGAAGTAGACTTCCGCAGCTCCAGCTCGAAAATCGCAACTTTGTAGTACAAGTCTAGTACGCCAAGTACACTTCCGCAGCTCCAGCTCGAAAATCGCAACTTTGTAGTACCAGTCTAGTAAGCGAAGTACACTTCCGCAGCTCCAGCTCGAAAATCGCAACTTTGTAGTACAAGTCTAGTAAGAGAAGTACACTTCCGCATCTCCAACTCGAAAATCGCAACTTTGTAGTACAAGTCTAGTACGCGAAGTACACTTCCGCAGCTCCAGCTCGAAAATCGCAACTTTGTAGTACAAGTCTAGTACGCGAAGTACACTTCCGCAGCTCCAGCTCGAAAATCGCAACTTTGTAGTACAAGTCTAGTACGCGAAGTACACTTCCGCATCTCCAGCTCGAAAATCGCAACTTTGTAGTACAAGTCTAGTACGCGAAGTACACTTCCGCAGCTCCAGCTCGAAAATCGCAACTTTGTAGTACAAGTCTAGTACGCGAAGTACACTTCCGCAGCTCCAGCTCGAAAATCGCAACTTTGTAGTACAAGTCTAGTACGCGAAGTACACTTCCGCATCTCCAGCTCGAAAATCGCAACTTTGTAGTACAAGTCTAGTACGCGAAGTACACTTCCGCAGCTCCAGCTCGAAAATCGCAACTTTGTAGTACAAGTAAAGTAGTAGCGCGAAGTACACTCACGCATCTCCAGCTCCTCTCGCAAAGCTCGAGTGTAGTACAAGTCTAGTACGCGAAGTACACTTCCGCAGCTCCAGCTCGAAAATCGCAACTTTGTAGTACAAGTCTAGTACGCGAAGTACACTTGCGCAGCTCCAGCTCGAAATTCGCAACTTTGTAGTACAAGTCTAGTACGCGAAGTGCACTTCCACATCTCCAGCTCGAAAATCGCAACTTTGTAGTACAAGTCTAGTACGCGAAGTACACTTCCGCATCTCCAGCTCGAAAATCGCAACTCTGTAGCACAAGTCTAGTACGCGAAGTACACTTGCGCAGCTCCAGCTCGAAAATCGAAACTTTGTAGTACAAGTCTAGTAAGCGAAGTACACTTCCGCAGCTCCAGCTCGAAAATCGCAACTTTACAAGTCTGGTACGCGAAGTACACTTCCGCAGCTCCAGCTCGAGAATCGCAACTTTGTAGTACAAGTCTAGTACGCGAAGTACACTTCCGCATCTCCAGCTCGAAAATCGCAACTTTGTAGTACAAGTCTAGTACGCGAAGTACACTTCCGCATCTCCAGCTCGAAAATCGCAACTTTGTAGTACAAGTCTAGTACGCGAAGTACACTTCCGCATCTCCAGCTCGAAAGTCGCAACTTTGTAGTACAAGTCTAGTACGCGAAGTACACTTCCGCAGCTCCAGCTCGAAAATCGCAACTTTGTAGTACAAGTCTAGTACGCGAAGTACACTTCCGCATCTCCAGCTCGAAAATCGCAACTTTGTAGTACAAGTCTAGTACGCGAAGTACACTTCCGCATCTCCAGCTCGAAAATCGCAACTTTGTAGTACAAGTCTAGTACGCGAAGTACACTTCCGCAGCTCCAGCTCGAAAATCGCAACTTTGTAGTACAAGTCTAGTACGCGAAGTACACTTCCGCAGCTCCAGCTCGAAAATCGCAACTTTGTAGTACAAGTCTAGTACGCGAAGTACACTTCCGCATCTCCAGCTCGAAAATCGCAACTTTGTAGTACAAGTCTAGTACGCGAAGTACACTTCCGCATCTCCAGCTCGAAAATCGCAACTTTGTAGTACAAGTCTAGTACGCGAAGTACACTTCCGCATCTCCAGCTCGAAAATCGCAACTTTGTAGTACAAGTCTAGTACGCGAAGTACACTTCCGCATCTCCAGCTCGAAAATCGCAACTTTGTAGTACAAGTCTAGTAAGCGAAGTACACTTCCGCATCTCCAGCTCGAAAGTCGCAACTTTGTAGTACAAGTCTAGTACGAGAAGTACACTTCCGCATCTCCAGCTCGAAAATCGCAACTTTGTAGTGCAAGTCTAGTACGCGAAGTACACTTCCGCAGCTCAAGCTCGAAAATCGCAACTTCTCAGTACAAGTGTCGTATTTAGGAAGCACACCTTGGCAGCTCCAGCTCGAAAGTGGCGACTCGCCTTCTCGTTTTACGGTGGCCACGCAAGGGTCCCACCGTAGCTAAGTTGCAACTGCAGGGGTTATTATAGAGCCGTGTGTTAGCTAAGGGTTATCGTTTTTGGGGGAGACCTTATCGTTTTCCATGGTTTTGGCATGTGTTATGCAAAAACGTTCCCCGCCTTGATAAAGTGGTCTTCGTGTGTTTTGTCCGTGGCTCATATATATTGTTGAACACATCACATTCATCAACTGCAGTTCCTCAAGCACACCCACACACATCCATACACACACACAGTGCTGTTTATGCCCAAGTTGCGGTCTGTGTCAGAGAGTAGCGTCAGCAATGAGTTGCCCACCGACTCAACGGCTTCAGCAGTAGTGGCGTTGAGCAGCTGATGGAACATCTTGTTGGACATCTTGCTCAACACCTGGAAGGGAGCTGACAGTGTTTCCGGCAAATCAAAGGAAGCATGACATGGGTATTGCGCAGTGCGCAGCTTCAGCACCCAACGCCTCCCTTCCAAGATTCACAAGATCGTAATTCAGCGTCTCCCTGGTCTCCCCCGCGTCCTCTGCAGCTTGCATCAGCTTGTCCCAGGCTTGAATCGCCGCTGCCAAGGAGTACCAGTCCTTGTGAGGTGTGGCCATTGATCCCCCCAAGGGCAGGGCTGTGAGTCCGTCAGCGTTCTTCTCCGCTGTGAAGCCCCCGACCGCCGCAATGGCCTTGTTGTTGGTGGTGTTGGCATAGACCGATTCCAGCAGCAGGTCAAAGGCCTCACACGCCTTCTCGTGATACCGCCCGTAGCGCTGCACCGTCCAGTCCTTTGTCCAGGTGCGCAGGTCTGCAGGAGCCTGCAACCAGGAAAGGTCCGTGACGAAGCTGTAGTAAAACGGATTCCTGGAGGGATGAAATGCGAATTGCACTAGACACTGCCCTGTGCTCTGAGGAAGTTAGGCAAAGAATGCAAAGAGTGCTCTGAAAGGCAAACAACTTGATCCAATGTCAGGGCGCTGATCAATGCCCTCTGGTGCCGCTCCAGTCCCGGCCACATTGCTTGTCCCCCTGAAGGCTTCAAACGGGCGTGAGTTCAGAGAAGGCACGCTGCCCCACATGCCAGTATTGCCACCAAAATTATGGAGCACAGACCAAATAAATGGCGTGCCAAAGTAGCCGAAATCGTGGAATTTGTCCCATTCTGGATCTGCCTCATCAAACATGTCAAGCATGACAAAATGCCTGGGGGGAACCGCTGAGACGAAGCCTTTCATAAACGGAAGCTTGTCATGACCCCAGCCACGCCATATCCAGCCCTGATAAAACCACACAGCAAGAGGATCGGTGGAGTTCATGGATTTGTAAGCAGCTTTGGCGTGAGCAAAGGCATCTGGATCTGCAGGCACGTCTTCGGGCGACTTCCAGTTGCTTGGCGAAGTCATTGTCCGCAGCCACGGCCCCTGGTTTTGATTGAAGTAGCCATCCGTCTCATACCAGTGGTCTGTATCCCAATCCTCGAGCGGCTGGCTGAACCGGAACAAATCACAAATCATCACAAATTACGTTTGTAATCGTTTATCCATCTTGCAGACAATGCGAATGGAAAATCCTGTGCCCCAGACGCACTGAATGATATCGGTGCAGCTCAGGCACGGCAATCATGGTCTGCATGTACTTCTTCTGGATCTCTGCAAACAGGGGGTCCAAGTCATCCAGCCAGGCTGCGCCTGTCTTGCTGATGTTTGCATGGGGGAAGAGCTGCCGGAAGAGCGGAGGCACGTTTCCCTGGAATGTTGGCAGCACTGAGACGATGCCCAAACGCCGGCTTCTATCCTCAATTTGCAAGCTTACCCTCACCACACCACTTCCAACTGTCTCAAACTGCTGCTATACATTTCATTCTCAGCTGTGCGAAACATACCCAACAATGATGTTCATGAGTTCTGCATCGTTCAATGCTGAACACCCTTTGGCATCTTTGGTTACATGATGTTACATGGGTTCATGGATGACCTTCATGATGGTTCTGTTTCACCAAAGGTTCTAAAATCTGCTTCTGCAGCTGCCACTGGCGCGTCATCCAAGTCTGCGGAAGCGGCGTGCATGCGTCACCGCAATTGTTGCCAATCCCGTGCATCGACTGACCACGGCTCCAAGCAAGCCACGCAGCGCCGTTGCTCCAAGCTGCAAATTCAGAGTCGTTGACTCCAAAGCTGTTGAAGGTCTTGCGGTAGATCTCCTCCTGCCCAGTATATGAGCAAACTAGGTTGATACCGCTCAAGGCTGCCCAGTCCAGCCATGCCTCCCATTCCGAAAAGTTGTACCACACGTAGCTGTAGCTGAACGTCACTACATTGTTGAAGTAACTCATAGGAACACTGCGATAACGCGTGATGGGCTTTCCCACCCTTGGCCAAGCCTTAGGGAGCACAGTGTTGTGACCGCCGGTTCGATTCCACGAGAATGACATGTTGCACCGCGTACGCAAGTACCATGCAGCACCATATGCTAGTTCTGGCCCACTCGTGGCGGCCACTCGCACGCGGCCGTTCGAATCCATCAAGTCGAAACACAAATCGGTCTTGGCGGATGCTGGCCGCGGGGTCTGGCATTTGGGGACCACTTCCAGCTCAAAGGCTGCCGACACCTCTGCTGGCGTCAACTTCAAAACTCTAGACAGAACGTCCGCAACAGCACCCGCGCTGCCGCGCCCAGCAAAGGTATATGCAACAAGGGACTCCTCGGCCAATGCAGCTCCAAGCAGTATGTACAGCAGGCAGAATTTTGCCATGGCTCAGCTAGGCTATGCGCAGGTTGAGCTAAAGACTGTGTACGCCCCTTCGCGCATGTCGAACACAACGCACGCATGTCGCACACAGCGCACGCATGTCAATGCCATATGCTCTCACTCAGTCACTCAGCACCCGGCTGGCAAAGGGCACCCTATGTTCTAGCCTCAGCGCAACATTGCCAGGGCCCATCCCTTGAGTCTGGCGTGTTTTGTTCTTGTTCTCATCTTGTTCACTGCCTTCTTCATACCGCTCACCAACGCTTTATGCCCAAAGCGTGGTGCCAAGGCTTCTTTCTAGCCCCCACCCAGCACCTTACAGATATTTGGTGCGTCCGAGCATCTGTCCAGCTCAGAAAACTGGCCACAAGACACCTCATGAAACTAATAATTGAGCGGTGTTCAACACATCCCAAACAAAAACAAAAGGTCTTATGCTGGTACAAACAATGTGTGACAAACAAGATCATTACCTCTCACACCAAACACACCAAGCATTTTGAACACTGCTCAACGGGCTGACAAACCACTGAGGAGCTGCGGCATGCCAGGATTCCTGAACATCAAGTGGCAAATGCTAGTCCAAAGCGAGCAACTTCTTGAGAGCATGAATAATTCTTAAGAGCAGCCTCCGCTGCTCTTCCCTACTCGTGGACCGTCAAAGAGCCATGATGAGAGCGCATTCACCTCTGTTGAACAATCGAGACATGCAATGATGCTTCTCTGATCGGAGGATGGTCTTTGCCGTGACTATCAACCACCATGTATGGAATCGAATCTGTCCGCATTGTTCATGCACTGTTGTCCGGATCCCTGCCAGGGAGACTCGCCAATACAGACAAATGATTAGATGGCAACATCTGGATGGTTTCCAGCAATGCCACAGACCTCATCTGACCGAGGCCTACTTAGCAGATGCAACAGCATGCATCGAATTATCCAATTATATAACAGCTCGTTGTGCAACCGCAGGGCCGCAAGCTCACAAACTCCGATTCAATAACAGCTGTTTCCTGGAAACAACTGAACTAACATGCGGGCAAAGACATGCCGAGCTGGCTTGCATGGTGCTATTTGCGACGATGCATCGACAACTTACACATAATCTTCAGCAGCAGCAGTTGGAGGAACAATTACCTGTTTCAGGCATGCTGCTGGCAAAACGCGCAACACTGGCACGGTATCCCGTGCTGCAGCCAGGTATGGCTTAAACTCAAGGGTTGCGTCGTTGACAAAACACGGGCGCTGTATCGTTCTATATCCAGCTTCAGTTGTCCAACGTCTGCCTAGAAAATGGGCGACGGCGTGGTCGCCTGCTGCTCATGTAGTGGGCGGTTGAGCCTCGCCTCTGCTGCCCATGGAGGACTGACTACTGCTGGAAGATGACACCAAGCGGATCGCAGCAACGAGCCACAGCCTCGAACACCAGCTGAATGCTCTCAAATAACAGCAGGATGCGGCACTGGATCAGCAAACAAAACAAACGCATCCAAGAGCATCCAAGAGCTGAAGGACCAGGAAAGATTCAAGTCAGGATACCTCATTCCTGGAGCCACAACGGAAGACCACATCCCGGCACCAGTCGGGGGAGCGGTAAGTCAAGGACTGAATGCCAGGACAGGATCCAGTTTCATTGTTTTGATGTCGGATGCACGGAACTTGTTTCAGAGCAAACCATCGCCTCATCTGGTACAGCCCGTGTCCTCTCTCGGGTCTTCGGCAAGCGACCTGGGATGCAATGAACATGTCCAATTCTGTCCACTTGAACAAAACCTATTTGGGTTTCAAGGATGCTGGCTCTTGCGTTTGAGGTTGCAACAGCACCGCAAGGGTGCCTCGCACATTCCCCGAACCATTTGAGTAAAACTGTTTGTCCTAGGGGAGCGGTAAAGTTGGATCACCCTATGACATGTACAACCTGGGAGATAGCGTCGATTGCCCCGGTTCCCAAAGAACATTGCAACTGATCGCAACTGCATGACATGGGGCTTGCATCCTGGCTGAACAGATCCGTCATCCAGTTGGGCAAAGGCCTTGACATTGTCATCAGCGTTTTGCCTGCACATTCGTGGCGTAGACACATGACTTGTGACCTGAGAGTCAATCTGCTTTCCAAATAAAACTTGGTTGGACTTCACTACGGAGGGGAGGCATCATGCTATGTCCCCTTAGGCTTGAACCTGCCGCGCCTGACATGCTCGTGCAATACTTGTGCTTGCGCTGAATTCAGAAACTGATCTCTGAGGTGTCCAGGCCTGCGACCAAGAGCACCATTCCGTGCCTCATCCAGAACTTGATTTTCAGACTTCCGCTGTGGAAGACTACCTTTGCGTAGGGAGTGGTTCGCGAGCGCAAGCTCGTGCTCGCAGGCTTGTTGGTCTGGTCCCTCGTGAGAAGTTTCCAGGGCTTCGAGATGCTTCAATCTGTCTCTCAAGGAACGCGGGGCGGTTCCACAAAGCTGAACGCTGGCAAAGCAAGATAAACGTTGTTCGACTTGGCCAAGCGGTGTACATTCACCATTTGCCCGCCCTGAGGACAGCGCCACCCGAGATGTAATCGACATGCATTGCTCCAATGCCAACGCGCACACACACACACACACCAATTACAGGGGGCAGCGGCGCAACTGCGAGAGGTGGATGGCTGACCCTGGCAGCATGAAGCCGTACTGCCAGCTAGCAAAAATCCAATCATACTGCTGCTGCTGAAAGCTTGCGGCTTTCTCTCAAGTACTGGTGGAAGTTGCGCTAATCTTGCAAAGTGCACCTAATGTACACTCGCATGCTTGCAAGCTACTTGTGCGCGTTTTGTGGTGACTGGACCGCCCTTGCACAATTCATCAGCATTAGCTATCTTCGGGAATGGCTACGGTTGTACGCATGTGCTGAACAACCACGATCACCGGCAACATCCAGTGGACTTTCCTTCTTTGTAAAAGCAAACAAACACACAGAGAGCAGCAGGAAGGCAAACCGGGATGTCGGGTCATCAAGACGCACACAAGGCATCCCAGGGATACGAAACAAAGCCTTCCATCCGAAGAATCAACTGAACCGTAATGGCATGTGTGTACGTGCAAAATCTAAGTTCCATCACTGGCTGGGGCTTTGAAGGTACATTGCTGTAGTCTGGCATGTTGACTTAGATTTCATGAGTAAATGACACCCAAGCCGAGACTTGCTGCATACACAAACGAATGAGGAAATACACAGGACGGCAAAGCAGTCAATACCACTCAGAAAGACCAGGAAAGAGTAAGCAAAGGACTTCGAATGGGAAGGTGAACCAATTTCCTCTGTAGCAGCATGATAATTCTGGCCATGCGCCAAGCCCTCAAGGACTTGTTCGGAACATGCGGTACATATGGCACATATCACACGCATACTGAGCGCAACAAGAAGAGCATACTGGGCCTTTAGCATCCCAATTCGAAGCCACCCGTCGCACGATCCGTGCCGGCATGGTCCCTCTTAGCCGTCAGCCGGGGCCGAGCCATCAACCTTTAAAAACTGAACAATGCCATGCGGTATCGAACTGGGCACCCAGGGCCCTTATGCCCTAGTATCAGTCAGTGTCGTTTTTCCCCCAGCATCGGTCGACATGGCGTAACAAGCATAGGAAAATTTGGCAGCAGGCAGCGGCACGCGGACATAATTCAAATGTTTCAACAGTAGGTTTGGTCGTCAGGAAAAGGAACTCGAAGAGCAAACCAACAACAAGGCGTGACACTTGGCAGCTAGTTGGATTTGGCAGGCACAAGTGTCGGTTAGGTATTGACTGAGTACCGGTTGAGTATCAGTTCAGGGCCTGCAAGTTCCCCTCCGGAACCTCGGTCTAGCATGGTATAGCTTCTCAAAAACCCGGGGTGCAGCTCACAAGAATCAAGACTGTGCCTTCCTGGCTTCTGGGCATTTTTCCTTCAGCATCGGTTTACAATGGTTTGGGCCTGCAAAACAGCAAAAGTATTAGCCCGTTACGTGACGCAACGACCCGGGGGCTTTATTTCGACCCAGGTCGTAACTCACACGCTACTAGAAATCAATTTGAAAGATCAGCGTGGACAAATGAGAAATTGCCCAAATAGCATTTGGAACTTCATCATGACCCGCTTTCCCCGGTCCCTGCGTGCGGGGATGCAGAACCGTTGCGCTGGAGCAGCGAACGCATAAGTGACATCAGCCTGAATGGCTTTGCAAGTGATGCTCGCGGCAATCCATAGCAAATAGTTGTCATGGTAACCTCAATAATCCATCTGAATTTGGGCATTTTCACTAGTTTTATCATCAGAATTCATGGCAAAGTAGACCGGTCACGAGCGTGACACTTCAACATGCATCCAGCAACATAGCGGAAGTCGAAGCCGACCAGACAAACGGTGGAAATGGCCAAGCCGAACAGATCCGAATAATTCCTTGCAGAGGAAGCCGCAACAATTGCAGAATAGAGGTAGACGGCTTGCCAAGGTTCAGCGGAATCGGTTTAATCCAAGCGACGCCAAGAACATCAGTCTGCCAGCATTGTTGTTCACGGAAAGCAGATGGGGCCCCAAACGAAAATACTGGTATATAGTAAGTGTCCTTCCAGTCCCCTATGCTAGCATGTCCCCTACAACATGACCAGTGCACGATGCTCGGGGGCGTTGGCCGGAGCCAAGCCAAGAATGGGGGTGAAGTGATAGCCGGAACCCACGCCCTGAAGCAGACTCTGCAACCCTGCCAACTGGCCTCAGGAGTCATGACATGTTCCCGGACGGGAGTTCCAAGCTCAGCAAACACATCGTGTGCGTGCAGATGTCTCCGGTGAGCAAGTTCGAATGAATTGTATGAGGCACAAAACCACGCGAAGGGAGCATTCTTTCTGGGGCCTCCGGAGTTCAAATGTTCCTGTCTGCAAGACACGCGACAAGGGCAACATCCCAATAAGTCGAAGGCCAACAAATGCTAACAATGAGTATGGCCCCGATCAACACGTGGCCCACTGTCAATTCTGGTCATACGCCAGGG